GTTTTACTGCCACCTGCTGGAAAATCGTGGTAATAAGTATACAAATGTATGCCTTTTCTATAAGAATGCCACAACTCGGGTATCAGCTTTGCAACCAAGCCAGTCATGACGATGGGCTGAGGTGTCCATACCCTATGCTAGCCCTATCAAAGTCTTCTCCTGGAAGCTTGCTATGATGATCTTTTTCTTTTCTAGTTGCAAAGTTGTGAAGATGTGAGCCTGGACTTACCAGGGACCCCATTTTAACATTATGTAGAAATGAGCTTAAGAGAAAGTAACAATCCACAAAACGGCGGTGGGAGGCAGGGACAGAAAGAAGCAGTCCCAGTGATCTTAGAATTTCTGGTTCCAATCCCACGTGAAGGTATTTCTATCCTTAACCTTTCTTTGGTTTGGCTCTGAAACAATTTCCTTTGTTAAGGCAAAGTTCAGTTTCTGACACATGGATAAAAAGCAAAAGACAAAAAAACAAAACAAAACAAAAGCCAAGTATATATTGACTTCGGAGATCAAGTGAAATAAACTGATTACAGTTGGGAGAGAAGGCAAGATGAGATACTCTGAGGTAATCTCAGTTTTTATAGTCGAGTCATGTGTGGAATTACCTAATTGTTCCTACTAGGACTATGTCTTGCTAAACCTAGTTGCTACAGATCCTCCATAGTGTAGATTCTTGCCTAGAGTAGCCATTTAAAACATATTGGTTGAATTAAATTAATCTCAAAACGCATAGAGATGGACAACACTTCGTTCAGTATTTTATTTTCGTGTCAGGTATTTATTGAGCAACTGCTTTGCAATAGACACAGTTCTACTTAGAATAGTTCCACTTAAATTTTCAGATCACATTTTGTAAACCAAAATGCATTTATCTATAGAAGCTAGACGTCATGCCAAAAGCAGTTGATAAAAAGGAGACACTTCTGGGGACAAATGGAGGCCACTCCAACAAAACGTATGAGTCAACATGGAGTTCTAGCTCGTAGTTTGTATTCTCTAGATGTGAAACATTGGATATATCTTCTAACCTCCCAGGGTCTTAGTTTTCTCATCTATAACATAAAGAGATATAACTAGATGACCTTTAAGGCTTACTGTGGCTAAAAAGAAACCTGAAGTTTGGGGTGCCTGGGTCGCTCGGTCAGTTAAACGTCTGCCTTCAGCTCAGGTCATGATCCCAGGACCCTGGGATCAAGCCCCACATTGGGCTCCCTGCTCAGTGGGGAGCCTGCTTCTTCCTCTCCTGCTCCCCGTGCTTGTGCTTTGTCTCTGTCAAATAAATAAAATCTTTAAAAAAAAAAAAGAAACCTGAAGTTTTCTTTTCATCTCTCAAACCAGTGATTTTCAAACTGTGATCCCTTTCTGGCAGCCTAGGAACACGTTGAAAGGCAAATTTCAGACCTCACCCCAGACCTACTGGATCAGACAACATGGGGGCGGGGGGGCCAGTAATCTGTGCTTTAACAAGCTCCCATGCATGCCAGACTTTGAGAGCCACTGCCCAGACGTATGCAAGGTATTTTTTTTTTAAGATTTTATTTATTTATTTGACAGAGAGACACAGCGAGAGAGAGGGAATACAAGCAGGGGGAGTGGGAGAGGGAGAAGCAGGCTTCCTGCTGAGCAGGGAGCCTGATGCGGCCGATCCCAGGACCTGGAATCCTGATCTGAGCCGAAGGCAGACGCTTAACGACTGAGCCACCCAGGCGCCCCATATGCAATGTATTTACTAGTCACCGTACGTATGGAGAACTTTCCTTATTTTTCTCTGCTGTGTTTCACTGACAGCATTTTATTTTTTAGCCATTCATGTCCTTTCCCACTCTCCCCCACAGTCCCCCAGAGAAAACTATTTTGGTCAGAGCAATGCTGCCATTCTTTTTTTTTTTTTTTCATCTTTTCAAAGATCTCTAATAACTTTATTAGATTTTCAAATGAAAATAAATTCATGCAAAAGAAAAAATAAGAAAACCAAAAGTCTCCATTAAGAGTGATGTTATATCATGCATAATAACCATTGTTTGAGAATCAATGAGCATTGTTAAGGTAATAAATCAGTAAGAGCCACTGCACCAAAATGGGACAAAGTATTTTGGGAATATTCTTGAACTCTTTATGAATTCAAAATTATGTCAGTGTCCTAACATTTCCTGCACATCAATTATTAGGGATCAGTTGCAGTAGATCACACACCACACACACACACACACACACACACACACGCTCAAGAATACTGATAAGTGCTTGTAACTAAAAAAAAAACAACCACTAGATGATCTCCTGTAATTATCCAATCCTTTTTGCTGTAAAACTCAGAAAATATAAAGACACAGAAAGAATAAAATGCGGGGTGCACAATCACTTCTGTGAATAAGACCTTCCTTTATTTAGAAATCTGTTATTGTGTCTAAGTTTATAAGTGATGGGGTTTGAGTTGTACCCATTTGTAGCTAGTGCTAGTACATAAAGAAATTTATGGACAGATTCATCAGAAATTTTACTATGTGTCACTTTTGCTCTGTGGTCTCCATAATTTGTCTTTAAAACATTATATATGAATCTCTGAGAGAGTCCAGGATGAGCCAAAGGAATGAATGATGAATGATTTTTTTCCATATGGGTACAAAAAAAGTAGAAAGTAAATAGACTGTGTATATATATATATATATATGCACACACATATACATAAAACATATATAAATATATGTTTGTGTCCTTTTCATTCTGCTTTCTTTCCCTCAGTGTTTTTTAACTCTAAAATTTTCTTGTTTCGGAATATTTTACCCATACCTGCTTAAAAACTGGAAAATCATGGTAGCCACCACTGCTTGGGTCCTATAAGATTTTTAGTTTGGGTTTGGAAGTCAGTTTTAACTTTTCCCCTTTCAATTGACTCCATACTGTATTCCAATATAGACGTAGATAGGTGACAGCCGTTATTTAAGAATAAACTGTGACATGGGTGTGGATGGTGTGTTTTTGAGTAATAATTATGATTCAGTTGTGAGCCAGATATCTATCCATTAATAGCAATGGATATCATAGGACAACAGATTTTTTCCCCCCACATCTTTAGTGAAGAGGATTGAGAGTAGCATGGATATATTCTTATATTACAAGAGTATTATTTTGTCAGTGGGAAGGAAAATACCACTTCCTTTCCTCTTCTCCAATATTCTTGCCTAAAATCATTATACTTTGAGTTTGGGGGGCTTCTGTATTTACCTGCCTACTACTGAGAGTCAAAACTTCAAATCTAGAGGAAATGCACTTTTTCTTTTTTTCTCATATGATCTCCTGCCATTTCTGACCGTTTATCTTTATTGACATATGAAATGAGAGTGTCATTAAAGATCAGAGATTTCCAGTGGGAGAGTTTGTAAAGCTGATATAATTATTTTTACTGTTGTATGTATATAATATAAAGAACCTGCAGAGATAAAAGAACTTAGAAAAAAAAATCTATTCTCCCCAACTCAGAGACCTTAAGCATATAACTTATTTAACACTTTTCTTCTTTGTTTTCTCCTCTCCAATTTGCTTACTGCACACTGGTTGATTCTTTAATTGTCCTCCCGCAGCCCCTGCTTTCGACCTTTCTTCATCCTCTGATTTTTCAATGTATTTTTCCATGCTGTTACTGTTTTGACACCATATCTAAATTTCTATTTGTTTTCTTCTGTTGCCTCTTTTTTTTTCATACTCCATGTATGACTTCCAATGATTTTGTCAAGATAAATTGTTCAGAATTAAGACTGATTGATTATGGAGGGCTTAAAGAACTCAGAAGAGAAGAACTGCCAAGATTTTCTTCATCTCTAGAAGCTTGTTGGAGCCACCTGGGGTGTGAGCAGGAAGAAACAAGGCCCCCGGGGGAAGGCATGACCAAAAGGGGAAGCCTGTTAAAATAATGATTTGGAGTAGTGTGCACTGAAGACAATAAAGTACAGCCATCCTGCCAGGTCAGTAGCTAATAGCCCATGGGTTTGTTACTAAGGAAATTAAAACTTTAGCTAATGAGAATGGGAGCCACCTACTGAGAATGAAACCGAAGGCTTCCTATTAAGTCCCCTCCCTGGGTCCTTTTGACAGAACAGTCAGAAAGTTATTTCCTATTTAGTAGCAAAAGACTCGAAATGGAAATTAAAAAAAAAATCGATGGAAAAAAAAAGTTGGAGGCACTCTTCTTATTCAACTCTCCTAAGAAGAAATGCAGACAGCTTATTCTGGCCTCCCACCCACCCAAAACATACATCAGGAAAATAGAAAGGGTAATTAAAAAAAAAAAAAGAGGAGCTGTCCCAGATAAGTACAGTCAAGATGTCTCAAGACACTCTCCCCCGGGGGGGATTTTTGGTGTGAGGACTTGAAATTAATAAATCCGCTATTGCTTTTGTGGAATCAGCAGGATTAGGCAAACTCTTTCAAGAATATTGGTTGAATTTCATTATTCCAGGGGGTGAGGGGTCCTCATGTATGCCCATTTCTCTCTCTCCCTCCTGCAGAAGTAGGAACACCTCCGTTTAACTCGTAGGTCACTAGGAGAGTGACTGGAGGCCTTCTGAACATACTTTGGTCCTGGGTAAACACTTAGGGTCGCTTTACTGCCCCCCCCGCCCCCCAATCAACTCCTGGCCCTACTGTGGTTCTTTGCATATTGTCAGAAAGTGTGCTGGGGGCTCCAGGGCTCTGCTAGCGGGCGAGAAGGAAGCACCCGGGCTCGCCGTGCGAAGACACCCAGCGGGCTGCAAAGATGAGGGCGCTTCAGGATCAAGGCCAGGGGTCCGCAGGGCGCGGAGCGGGCTCCCGGTTCGCGGACGCCCAGGTGTGGGGCGAGGGCTCCCAGAGGGCCGGGCCGCGGGCACTGCAGCTGACGGCCCCGGGCGCGGCGGTCCCGGCGGCCGTCTCCGCGGGCGGGGAGCGAGCGCGTGTGTGCGCGACAGCGGCGGGCGGCGGCGGGAGGAGGCGCAGGCGCGCTGCTCGCCCGTCTGCAGCCCCGCGCCGAGCGCCGCGTCTCGCGGAGTTGATGGCAGCACCACTGTGCGGCCGCCCAGCCGAGCGCCGAGCGCAGCCGCCCGCCGCTGCCCAGGGAGCGTCCAAGATGTGGGGGGATCGGGGCGGCAGCGGCCGCAGTAGCGCCAGGGACGGGGGCGCGCAGCAGCCTCCGCTCGCCCGCCTGTGCTGACCTGCCTCGCCTGCCCCCAGAGAATGTCAGCCAAGTCCAAGGGGACCCCCTCCTCGTCCTCTCCAGCCGAGGGACCTCCGGCAGCCTCCAAAACCAAGGTGAAGGAACAGATCAAGATCATTGTGGAGGATCTAGAATTAGTCCTGGGCGACCTGAAGGACGTGGCCAAGGAACTTAAGGAGGTGAGAGGCGCGGGGGTGGGGAAGGAGTTCGTCACCTTTCGCCCCCTCGGGGTTCCGGTCCCGTTTTCACTGGGGACCGCCCGATTTCTTAACTCCTAGCAAACTATAGAAAGACGCCCGCAGACGGACTTTCTTGGCTCGGGCGACTCCTGAGAAGAGTTGTTGCACTTTTTTTTTTTTTTCTTTGTAATCAGGAAGAAATCAACTAGTGTTTTAATCGATGGACCTGGGGTGGTGGGAAGGGCGAACGGGTGCGTGTCTCTGTATCTGTGTGCGTGTAATGTCGGGGAAGGGGGCTCACTGGGGGTGTGTCGACAGAGGAGGAAATGAGCAGCCGGGCCGGAGCGTGCAAAATGCTCCTGTCCTGCCCTCTTGCTCCCCCAGAGTCCTTTGGCAAGTCGCTCCTTGCCTGGCAGTCTCCCCAAGCCGGGGCTGGAGGGGGGCCGGGTTCCGGGCCCTGGGCCAGGCCGGGGAGGGCAGCTCAGGGGAAGCTCGGCTCCGGCTCCCCTCCCCGCCTCTGGAGCCCCGCTGGAAGGAGGGCGACCCGGGCTGCAGGCAGGGGAACCCAGACTTGGGGATGGAGAGGGGGTCTGGGACTTTCTCACTTCGGCAGTTCCTGAAGCATCCCCTGCTCTCCGAACGCCAATCCCAGTAACTCCGGGCCTTCCCGCCACCCCACCTCCTTCCTTCCTCCCATCTTGTAGCCACTTGGCATTGAACCTGGGGAGCGGGGCGCGTCGGTGAGCGTGTTCGTGTGTGTGTGTGTGTGTGTGCGTGTGTGTGTGTGTGCGCGCGCGCGCGTGTGGTGGGCGTGCAGCAGGGTCTTGCCACTTGCGTCCTGGCTCTTGGGAACCGGACTGTTTGCGTTCTTTCCCGCTTCCCCCCTCGCCCTGACCCTCCGTTCCACTTCTGCCCTCCCACCCCTACCCCTGTGATTGGGACTGAAGGAAGCCGAGGCGGTGTCGGGGTTGAGGCTGCGTAAGTCAAGCTGCTGCCCCAGGCTGCGGGGGTGGGGGAGGGCGGGTCGGGTGGGAGAGGTGGGGTCGCCCGCGAGCCTGCCCCGCCGGCAGCTGGTGGCGCCGCGGAGCTGGTGGCTGAGTCGGAGCCCGCAGTTCCGCTACCGAAGACTGGCTGGTGCGGTTCTCGGTCAGGGAGTCCGCACCCGCAGTTGTGCGAGAGCGAAGACTCTAACTTCTAAGGTGGTGGCCGCTGCGGGAAGGGAAGGAGTGGGACGTACGCAAGGTCCAAGATGGGACTCCTGTTTTCTGAGGCCAAGTGGGAGGAGACTGAGGGTGGTTTGGGTGTCTGGCCTCTCGACATCAACCTCCTCTATCCGATTTCCAATCCAAACGTGAGGCAAGAGCCCCCTTCCACCCCCACCTCCCCCAGCCCAACTCCCTTGCCCCCCGGATTTCCCTTTACCTCGAGGAACTGAGCTCCGCATTTGTTGCCGAATGAAAACCTGTGAAAATGGCCCATTCAGTGGCGGGGTTGGGTTTGCCAGTGGCTCATGCCATCTCTGCAGGTTGTTCCAGAGACAGAACGCAATTACCAGTGAGGTCCTGAGAGTGGAGATTGATACAGATGATAGGTGCAGGGATCTGACTTGTCCGTGTTCGCAGGGCATCCCTAGGATCATTGCTTCACAACGGGTTGACAGGTGGCGAGGTTATGCATTGAAATTCAAGTCTAAAGATGCTGTTCGTTTCTTCTTTGTTATTCTTTTATTTGACATCTTTGGCAGGCTGTGTTTTCATCTGAAACATTATGGCGTTTTAAAAAATGAACAAATTTGGGCATGTTCCCTTTGGCAGAATGGTGCTTTATAGTAGTTGAGGTTTCTACCGTGGGGGTTGAGGAAAACCTACATCAGCAAAATGATGTGTTTACTGTCTTAGGGAGGAGGCTGAAATTAAGAGAAAGGCAGTCAAAACTCTGCCTTTATGGGCACATACTTCCTTATGTTAGGATGTGTCACTCCACTCTCTATTTTGGACAGAATAAATAAGGAAGAACTGCAGAGTCCTGGTTCTCCTTTGGCTCATTATCCTGTGTACATTCAGAGACCAGGTAGATCTACAGTGAAACTTTTAACCTCCCTAGGGCTCTTCATTAGAATCACAAAGAGGTCAGTCAGGAAGTGTATCTCCCACTCTTTCTCTGTCTTCTTTTATTTGAGCCTTTGTAAGGGCAAAAACAAAAACAGGTCATTTACAAAAAGTATGGGGAAGCGTAAATAATGTACAACCAAGTAAATGAAAGGATCTATCTTCTAGACAGATGGAGAGATAAAATTTTGACATAGTGCTTTGGAATCTTTGATTGGCTGCCAGGGCCTGTTTGTGGAAAAATCTTACCCTGAGAGTGAAATTTATGAATGATAAAGGTTGTGATGCGATCGTTAATTACTCTCCTGAGGCTATCATTGTCTTAGGTTTGCACAAGGAGTTGTGTCTACTAAGGCTGAATCTCAGAACCCTGGCCTTTTATATAACGTGAATGATAGTTATTTTAAGAACAAATATTTATAGGGCATGTTTAACCTATGACATCTTGCAGTTGTCCAGCATTTATCTTTTTAAGATAGTACTGCACATGTGATTGAACATGCCTTTGATGTAATTTTGAATGGAGGAGTAACTTAAAACTTCGTAAAATTGCAAACCTTGTTGGTCCCTGTAGCTCTGACTTGTAAATATGAATTTCACTTTTCATCAACAGTTACATTCAATATTCTGGCAGCTTACCATGGTATGTATTAAACATAAACTGTTATATTTAGAATTCTAGTTCCTTTATTGGCAACGCTGTGCCCTTAGGCCCTACTATATCTTGATATAAATTAGCAGACAGTTCTTATTAACTTGGAGCAGAAATTAGAAATAAAAAAAACTGATTATGACTAGATCACTATATTAGTCACCATATGGTATTTGTTTTTCTTTTTTGCTTCTATTCTAAAATGCATTATTTTTTGAATATTCTGTTTTTTATTTTTGCATAAATTTTGCACCAACAGTATTGGACCTTTGAGGTTATTTTGAAATTGCTTTTCTTTTTAGAAGTTTTCTGGACTTGAGTCATCTGAAAATTCAGGTACATCTTTTTATGGCTACCAAGATGACTAAGTTGTAGTTTCCGGTCTCAGCTCAAAGCGGTAGTTTGGGATGCGTTTTTCCTGTCTTTGAACATCAATAGTGTAAAAAGGTATTATTCCTTTTAGTGGCCACTCTCACGCTGATCTAAGAGACTTGAGAATAAAAAAACAGAATTGAGATTAAGAATTAGTTTATGTAGATTTATACAGTGATATTTGCTATGTCCTTAGGATAGTAAGCCTTTGGTGAAGAAAGTAGAAGCTTAAAAACGATGGTAAGATAAGAATTTTAAGGAACTTACAATTTATTCAGATTGTCATGATAAACACAGATGGATCAATGCCGTATATAGGAAATCACATATCCGAGTCCCACAACTGAGTATTGGAGTTTTTCATGAGGGATAAGTATTTTGGGTGGATAAATAGTCAAAAAGGAAAATTTTAGATCTTTGAGATGTGGATACAATTTGAAGAAGTAGATAGGAGAAGGATTTAACAGGAAATAGCATTAATACATAACAGTAATAATACAGTATTATTCCATGATGCTTTTTTCTACACATTAAAAAAAAATAGGGCTGAAACTCGATAGAGTTTTAGGGATGAAATTAGCCCTTACTGGTTTATTAGGTGTGAGTATGTCCTTTTTGTTGTTGTTGTTAAGAAATGTAGAAGAAAGAGTCATTACTCTTTAAAAATAGTTGTCAAATAATCTGACATCTTTGGGTACAAATTTGCCTGTTCTTTTATGAAGATCTCACTGGTAAACTGTTTTGCCTCAAATGTTGGTTTTAATATGGTATCAAAGATCTTGTTGGTTAGGCAGAGACTGGAATATGTAGTAAAGAGCCTTTGATTTGGAAACAAAACTCATTGCTGCTTAAGCTATATTCTCTTTTAGTTTAGACTGATTATAACCTTGAACATGTTTGTAGTGTTTCATTTTACAATTTGAAGTAATCAGACTGCTAATGGGTTGGATATAGGCATATATTATTTATTTGTTAAATAAATGTAATTTATTAAATCTAAAATATTTGATAAATATAATTATGTGTCTGTATATATAATGTGTGTATATCTGTCTATAAAATTATATGTATATATAAATTTATTTATTTATTGCTAAGCCTTGTGAGTAGATATGTCTCTCAGAGAGGACCCAGTTAAGATGAGTTATTCTTTCTGTGCCCTGGACTCAGTGATTGGACTCCTTAGGTGGGAAGTTAGGTCAGTACTATGGCTGTGGATTGGGAAACACCCATGATCTTTCTTATGAGGTCATACAGAGAAATAAATTAAGCTTAAGTTTAATTTTGAGAAGTTTGAAAATCCACTAGAAACGATCCATTTGGGGACTGATGAAAACAGAAGTCACAGAATTAACAATTACCTGCAAAATATTTTTGTTTTTAAATGTTTTCTGCCATTTAAAACCATTTCCGATAAATGGCTTATCCTTGTGAAGTTCTGTAGTTTATTGCTCTCGGAAATCCTACCAAGTATTTTTTGGTGAATAAGTCCATGCACATAAAATTCATTACTAGAACAAATGATAGAGGATAATCTCTGGAGTATTTCCCCAAGTTCTGAAGTTGTGAATGAATGAAATTGCACAGGTCATTGAATTGTAGCAACAGCTGTACTTTGGCTTCTTTATACAAAAGTCTGTGTCCCCTAAACTCAAGGATATTTACCAAATGCTAAAATGTTTTGTTTTAATTTTTCTTGCCTTAAGCATGGTGGCTTAGCATGTTACTGAAGGAGCAGAATGGTTCTGAGAAAATAAAGATAACCAATAACCATCTTTCACTGTCTCTGTTTTCAATGCATTAAAACCGTTCAAGATTCAGGGAATTAGCTGATAGGAAACTCACGTGCCTTAAAGTAATAAATAGGT